GTTATATAAGATTATTTTAGGTTTGTGCATTCACTTGCATTCAGTTATAAGTGCTACAAACTCCTCCAGATGCCGAGTACTACATGGCCATGAGTGGGCTTCTAGGGGAGCCAGACGATATTGCCAAGCTGAAGTTGCTTCTCAGTGACCGCGCCCAGCAGGGCAGCTTCTGCCTCACCTTCGACTACCGTGTGGTGGGCCAAAATGTGGGAACGCTCAGGGTGCTGCTGGATAACAATGCTTACCCAGTCTGGGAGCAGAGCCGAAGCAGAAACCAGGAGTGGCAGACAGAGCTCCTCACTGTGGCCTGGAAAGAGGAGGCACCAGAATCTGTGAGTCATTTGATAGCTTTTTAAGACATATTATTGATGAATGATTGTCAAACTAGAGCTGTAACTGCTAACAATAATATCACAAAAGGAGGTTGAACAAGACAATGTTGTATTTCATTTGGTTCGCAGTATGTTTGAAATGTTTGAAGATGCAACGGTACCCTTAAATGTCTTTCAGATCATCTTTGAAGCTCAGCATGGGAAAGATATCGGAGGAGAAATCGGGCTGGACAATGTTGTGCTGACCTCAGGGCCCTGTCAAGATGATGTCAGTCCATTCGTTTAAGAGGAATCATCACCCCGGGTTTACAATTGAAAATCTGCTCTAACTGATACATGTGAAATATTGCTGTTTCCTTTCCACATGGTCTGGAGTTTCTCAATGTTTCCTCATGGCTTAGCCACTAGACATCCACATAAAGATACAAAAGCATGGTCTCAATGGAAGATTATGTGTTATCAGTGAATGCATGTTTAATTAGTACATCAACCTGCTCCTATCTTTATTTTCAAAATGGTCTCTCAGCGTACAGATAACTCAGATCTCAGGAATAGGTGGAAATGCAAACTTTGTGTGTAAGTTAGATGTAACAGTATTGTGCTTAGTCATTTGTTGTGTATGTGATTACTGAAGTTAATTGAAAATAATCTACCACATGTAATGTGAATTCTTAGGGTGAATTATATCTGACATTCAATCTTAGATGAATAACTTTTTTGAAGGCTGGTTAGTTTAAATGATTAAAGGTAACAGTGCATAATAGAACTGCTGTAAATGTTGCTTTCATGTTATGTTGTACTATTACATTAAATCTGTTTTTTCTAACTCTGTCTACTGATTTTTTTTTACACCTGGATACATAATCTTGTAGGCTGTAGGCCTCTAAAACCAGATCATCACCTAGATTTACCTGATACTGAAGTGAATGTATGATATCAGGACAAAATCTATGGTAATAGAATGGGGGTGATTTTAGGAGATTCGGTCTGCTGACTGAAGAAATTGATTTGTGGCAGTCTCTGACAACCAAGGACTCAGCTGGTGAGAGGATTACAGGACATGTTTGGCTGGCATCCTGTTTGTGGTCAATAATGTTGCTGTCTTAAAGCTTGTGTAGGCTCTAAGTAGTAGTGTGAGTACAGTTTTGGTCTATTTGTGCTTTTCTTTATTATTATTTGCTGCTATTATCTTTCAGAAAAACACATTTTACCCTTTGCTACATTAGCATTAGGATGCAGTTTGCTCTTTATTGCTTCAGTATAAATAATGGATATTCAACCAACAAAAATGAGGGTAATACAACAAGGAGACTCTGCATAAAGGCCACATTTACTTTGGTTTGTTAACCTAATGTTAACATTAGTTATGTACATATTGTTGCTAACGTTGTAGATTGCTTTTACCTTCAGTGGACACATATGGTTACAGTGCATGGATATATGGTGCAACAAGTGTGCTAGCTAACGTTAGCTCGTTGATATATTAATGTTAACGTGCTGCATCCAGCTTTTTTTAGGGCGAGGTCTGATAGGTTTTGTCTGTCTGCAGCTGGGATGCTGGGGGATAAAAGCTAACTAAGCTAAATGTCGCTCTCTGCTGGCTAAACATGGCTAATACAAAGAAGTTAAAGATGTGTTACCAATGGAGCTAAACTCAGTTAGCTAACGTCAGTTTATGGTCATATCCTTGTTTTAGAAGTACCTAAATGTTGCCTGACATATTAAGTTAGAAAGATATAATGTGTTTTCTGGGAAATTATATTTTAATTAGAAGTTGAAAGGGCCTAAAACCTTACCTCGGCGCTCGTTGGTTGTTTGACAGACAAGATCACATGATCCGAAGCTGCCCATGTATCGTTAGCCTGTTAGCAGCTAGCCGCGTTAGCACGGAGCCTCAGGGGTTCACCCACCAGGAAACAACAGCGCGACCTGACGTTAGCTCGGGCCACGCCAAGGCGAGGAGCTGTCAAACATATGCATTAATAATATTTTAGTTATTTCCTGTTTTGTTTCTCGCTGAGTCAGCGGCTGTCTGGTCCAAACTATAAGGTACGTTACTGGCAACACTGCCTGGAAGTAAACCTCAGCTAACGAATGCTATCTATTGCATTTACCTAACTCCAGCTGTGTTCCCTTGTTTTCTTTTTGTGTTAGCCTAGCTAAGCTAACACGTATCTGCCCACAGTTATGTTCTACTAGCATGTTGCAACTATTAGTTTAATAATGTGTATGTTATATGTCACAAGCTAAATCGTTAGCTATAGCTTGTTGGAGTGCTCACAGTGTTTTGAACGTTTGGTAGCAGATCATGCTTTATTGCAAAGGGGCTTTTTAGCTAGAATTGCTGTCTTCTGCCATCTGTTAATGAGGAAACTGCTGTGTTACAGCTGGTTGAACGTTACCTGTATGGCTGCTCACATCAACATTAAACATATGAGCATGTGACCAAGGAGCAAGGGCTACAGCACATGATCTGGACAAGTGGAGGAGGCCAAAATCAATCGGGTGAGGCAAAAAACATGTACTAAAAAGTGTGCTTCTGCAGTATTATGTGTTATATGTAATACTGTATTTCAAAATGATATTATAGTGTTGCACAAGTAGTGAAAATCTCTATTTTTGCATCTCTCCAATAGTTTAAGTATTGCAAAGTGGTTGATCAGGATTAAAAAGCCATGACCACAAAGACATCCCTGCTTAAAGTCATCCTACTGGGTGATGGTGGTGTTGGAAAAAGCTCCATCATGAATCGTTATGTCACCAACAAGTTTGATGCACACCTTTTCCACACCATCGGCGTGGAGTTCCTCAACAAGGAGCTGGAGGTAGACGGCCACCAAGTTACCCTGCAGATCTGGGACACTGCTGGCCAGGAGCGTTTCCGCAGCCTGAGGACTCCTTTCTATCGTGGCTCTGACTGCTGCCTGCTCACCTTCAGCGTAGATGACAACCAGAGTTTCCTCAACTTGGGCAACTGGAAGAAGGAGTTCATCTACTATGCAGATGTCAAGGAGCCAGAGAAGTTTCCATTCGTCGTCTTGGGCAACAAAGTGGACGTGACAGAAAGGCAGGTGTCTTCTGAGGAGGCTCAGCAGTGGTGCCAGGAGAACGGCGACTACCCCTATTATGAGACCAGTGCAAAGGATGCCACCAATGTAGCGGTGGCCTTTGAGGAGGCAGTGCGTAGAGTGTTGGCTCTGGATGAAAGAACGGACCACCTCATCCCCACAGACACAGTCAAGCTCCACAGAAAGCCACGCTCTGCTGCCACTTGCTGTTCATAACACCCAGGAGCTATGACTAACATTAATTTGCTGATATGCCTGTTATGTGATGAGGCTGTAGGTTTACAATGCTGTAGTAACATCTTATTTAAACAAATTATGCTACTGGCTTTATGATTTATTTTACTGTTGAAGGATGGATACTACTACTAGTTGGACTTCTGTTGAAAGAGAAAAAGGGGAAACACTAAATTCATCCCAGTCTTATTACAAATAAACAGCAAGTCACTGAATCATTCACTCAACTCCGCCACAGCTCAAAGGTCAGACTTTGGAGGGGTAGCAGAAAAGATGCCGCATTTTTGTGTTGGCCCAAGACTGCCTGTGGGGAACTAAAAATCTGTCTTGAAGGAACAGAAGCAATATATTTGAATAGTTTCACTTCCCTCTCAAGTGGCTAAATGTTCCACTCTGTCATTAAGGAAATTATAATTTGACTCTTACAATGTGTTCTACCTTGGGAGTGTGAGCATAATAGTGTTTCTGAACCTCACCCCTAAATGTAGTAATACAGAGAGAGTGATGGCCTATATATTTGTTCAGAAAATAAGTGCATAATTAATTTAAACAGCCCAATAACCTTATTTCTGAGAATTATAAAGTAGCTAAGGCACTACAATGTGTAACTAACAAATCAAGGCTTGTCGTGATTATTGCACCTTTAGGTCTTTTTGTGCACATTCTGCTTAGTGAGTAGATTTTGTGCTGGAAGCACTGAGGGGCACGATTCCCCACAGAGAATAAATATTAAAGCAAAGTTAACATGCATGGCTTATGGTGTATTTAAGTTCCTTGAAACTTTTGTGTTTTGTAAACCGTTTTTACCTTAAAAATCACCAAATCAATATTGCCATGAGGAAAGTTTAATGAAATAGCAGTTATGATTGAGTAAACTGTTTTTCCTCATTGTTGGGTGTATTGTTTTAAATAATGATCTTTGAAGCACTCTGTTAACATTTTTTTATACTTGCAGTTGAAATGCCTTCCCCATAGCTTAATATTTAAAATGGTGACAACTAATTTACCTTTGTTTTTCATTCTCATAGTCAAAGCTGTACTACTGGTATGCCAAATGATAAATAAACCCCCTGAGAATTGTCTCTTAACGCATATTTTCTTACCTGAAAACTCTGATAAGTTGGTTTATTGTCCCAAGGTTTGATTCTGCTGCGCTTTCTAACCACTGTATTGTAATGCCTACATGCCTACAAAATCGGCAACACAAAGTACCTATGTCAAGGCACAAAATTGTCTGTTCTTCATTATTGTTAAGCACTCTTGTGATAAGTTAACTTGACTAACTTCATGCCTTAAAGTCTTACGTCGACATTTGGCATACAGTTGCCTCACAGCTCATCCCATGCACGAAATCAAACAACAGACATAACTTTAGAAGCTCTATCAGACAAGAAATATTTTATAGAAAAATGTGTTGAATACATTTTACATTTGTGAAACAGAAAAAGAGGACAACAACATCAAACGTGTGTTAGATATACATACACAATAAAAGAAAGACAGACATCAAATGTGTGTGTTAGGTATATACTATATACACAACGAATAGACAAGATGCATAAAAATTCTTGCACATGTGATGTGACTAACTCAGGAGATGCTTCTTTCCAAGAAACTGAACTTTCCTCTCAAAAGCTGTCGAGCGGATTGGTGCATTGATTTCATAGAATGGATTCATTGCAAACTGGAAGACAGAATAAACACAATTAAATCAAACACTGACAGGAAAAAAAATAGCAAACAAATGTGACCTCATGCAGTTATTCTTATCATATGAAAGACAACTCACCTTAATGTATAAATCATACACATCATTAAAAAAGTTTTTGATCCCATCTTCTTGTCGCACATCATGCAGCATGATGAATCTTATATGTATGGCAAACAATTAAAGAAAATAAAGCTGTGCCAATGAATTCCACAAATATTACTGCACAGAGTGACACTGCACAACAATATGACTGACCTCTGAGAAGGCAAATAACATACTGCAAACTAACTTGTAAAATAATGGCAGCAGGGCTTCAGCTAACAAATATTTTTATTATCAATCTGATGACTCTTATTTTCTTTTAATTGTGTAATCTATAAAATGGCAGAAAAAATGGAATATATCCATCATAATTTCCCAGAAGGTAACATCTTTAAATTGCTTGTTTTGTTTAACCCACACTCAAAGATTTGCAATTACATAAAACTAAGAAAAGCAGCAAATCTTTGTTTTTAGGAAGCTGGATTGAGAGATTTTAAGGTAGTTTTGCTTGATTAATGACTAAACAATAATAGATTATCAAAACTGCTGATGTGTTTTCTGTTGGATAATCAACTAATTGTCATCTTGCATTATTAAAATGAGCTATTAAACATGATAAATTAGCCATGTAGGTTATTTTAGTCTGTCCCTCCTGTCAGGAAACTACAACATGACAGCATTTTAAACATTTTTGATTGTGGTTACCATCATTAATAAATTATGTATGGTATTATGTGAGGGGATAAAAAGGTAAGAATCAAATGGAACAGAAAGGATATGTCCTGCAGTGACGAAGGCAGACACGAACCACTCGTTGAACTTGTCCACAGTTTTCAAATACATATTGTTGGACAGCCACATGTTTTCGTCCACCAAATCCAGGGCTGCGTGTGCAATGAACTGGTTCAGGTGACGATGATCATCCTGTGGTCAATGACACAAGTCTTATCAAACAATATCATAAATTAACAGACAATACAGACGGTTTAATGTGTCTTTGTCTAGGCTAATGAATAGCATGTCCTTACTAGTGTTATCACCTAAGAAAAGATGCACTGATTTGCTGGTGTTGTGTATAAAACCATGTTACCTTTGCTTCAGCCTTCCCAGCTGGCAAGAACTCCATCTCGAACACTGGGTTGTCCTGATGACCAACCATGACAAAATAAAAACTTCCAGACATCGTGGCCCCTTCTTCTCAGCAACGTCAAACTGTCCTGAAAACATTTTAGACCAAACGAAAGAGATTGAACGATTTAGTCTTACCAAATATCAGTGTCACTATCACTCAGCTGATTGGGAACCCCTTAGCTAGCAAGCTAATGTTAACCGCAGCGCTCCACAGACGCTTAGCGTCGTTAAAGCATTTAAGTTATTCCTGTGAAACTAAAGTAAACATATTACGTATTGAAATATCGTATAAATACAACGTACACACGATAAGAAAAGCTTTTTACTTTGATAGAAGCGACTTTTGTTTACCTGTCAATTTGCTTCCTGGAGAGGAGCGAGAGCAGTCGCAGGAAGATGACGACATGATAAAGCACCCAAATATAAATCTGTTATCTGCTGTAAAACGATTTAGCGACAGCGATTTGTAGCTCAGCTTCATATAAATGAATATAATATTAAACATGTGGTAAAAAATGTTTAATAATAATAAATAAATTGCTATTTTTGTAATTGTTACGTCATAACTGTGGGTCCGGAACGAAAGTTTCCGTTGACGGATTTAAATACTGGAGGCACACCTCCTCTACATGGACGCCGAGAAGCTTTCTGGTCGTCAGGCTGGGAGCTATATAAATTATTCTCATTTTGAGATGCCTATTGATTCAGGTGTTCAGAAGGGAAAGTGAATACGATCAAACACCAGGTAAGAAGACTTTAAAAGTTGTTGAACACGGAGGTTTTGACCTCTTGCTAGCCGTGTCAGCTTTAACGTTACCCTGTTGTTGTGTACTTGGGTTTCGTCTGTCAGGAGCTGCAAAACGACACTCAACAGTCATGTCCTCGGCCAAGGATGATACGTTATCCCCAGATGAGCTGCGAAAAAGACTCTACCAAACTTTTAAAAATAAAGGAGTGCTTGATACACTCAAAGTAAGTCATGCTAATATAGTTGCTGTTGGCTCTCCTAGCCCAACAGTAACGTTACTAACCATCGCTTTGGAAAGTGTTTGGTCTTCATCCCTCTGGTTTTCTGATCTGACTCAGACGCAGCTGCGGAATCAGCTCATCCAGGAGTTAAAACACCCACCTTTGACAGGAGGAGAGCCAGTCCCCAGACCAGTATCTGTGAAATCTGAGCCCCTTTTGGTCTCAGCCTGTAACAGCTTGGTAGCTGATCACCTCCGCACCTCAGGGTATGAGTACACCCTCTCTGTATTCTACCCTGAAAGTGGCCTATGCAAAGACAAGGTGAGAAAGAGCATGTGTCTAATTTATTATAGTTAAAAGTGTAAAGAATACCGATGCAGATGAGATTTTGATCTCCATTTTGGCAGGTTTTCACAACAGGAGACCTTCTGCAGCTTCTTAAAATTAACCCAGAATCATTGCTTCACAGATCCCTGGTAATTAATAATATGATTTAGCATAAAGAATATTGTTCTTGAGATACAAAATAAATCATGTTAGTAACAGCAGTGTTATGTTTCTTATCTTTACAGTCTTCAAACAAAGATAACAGAGGTAAAGGTATGTGCAGCATTCTATACCTTTTAATAATGTTTCTTGTATTTTCTGTACTTTTTTCTGCATGCCTAGTTTTTTAAGTTTTTTTAAATATTGAAATCTTTAATTTGACGCTTTCCCCTTGACTGCTGTAACACTGGAATTTCTCAATTGTGGGATCAATAAAGGTGTATCTTATCTTATCTTATCTTATCTTATCTTATCTTATAAAACTTCCTCTACCTGTCATAAACATGTTTTATCTTTGTCCTGCAGGGTTTCTGATCAGCCTCCTAACACAGCTAACACACCATTATACTCATGGCCTTTGCCATGATGCTGACACTCAGACAACCAGCATGGCAAGTTATGGAGAGTCTCTTGGTATGTTGAAATAAAGTGTCAAACTGTACTCACACATGCATTTCAGTGCACAATTTTTAATGTTTTCTTTCTTCCATGCACAGTTGAGAAGATGAAAATGATTGATAAGGAATATGAGAGCATCAGTCACAGTGGGGACAAGTGGTTTCCGTTCCAATCAAAATTGGCTGCATATAGAAAAGAAGTTGAAGCACAGATGCAAGCAGAAACGAACACAAAGGTACGAGTACTTTTCTACAAAGCTAGTGAATCAAAAACATTATCAGCAGGTATGAAGCACATCTGCATACTTTAATCTGCACTTAACAACTTTTTTAAATGTATAAATGCTTTATGAATGGCTAATATATGTGATCATGTAGCTTTACTCCTGGCGTTAACTTTGTGACTTTTGTTTCTTAAGATGCAACATTTTAAAGATGTTGAAATTGCCAAGGTGAGGATGGAAGATAAAGCTAAATTTAATAAAGAATATGATAAGCTGAAGCAAGAGCTGGAGAGGACTTATGAGATGAAGGCAAAGGCGTTGATGGACCGGGAGAAAAATGCCATTGAACGGTTGCAAAAACAACAAGAGGTAGATTTCTTTCCCTGGAGATAAACCTTAGTATTCATTGGCATCATTTCCACTTGTTTAAATCTAAGACAGCATAACTGAAGCTGTGATTTGTATTTCTCATTTTTTAGATTGAAGAAAAAAATGTGTACATGCAGAGACAGTCAGTCCTGAAAGAAATCGAAACAGTGCGGAACAGAGAGAATGAGCTGAGGATGAGAACAGAGGCTTTTGAAAAGTAAGTTGTTTTTTATTTTACTACTCATGTTCGTAAAGGGATGCTATGTTCTTGCATTGTGACCTGTGGCTCATAGAGAATGTCACTGTGTTGTTCGTATGATGAAAGGACTTGTCAAATTCATGAGGAGAAGGTCAAGACCAGTGAAGAGCTGCTGCGGAGGAGAGAATTGGCGGTGAAGACTTTAGAGGACACACATGACCAAAGGCTGAAAAATGAACTTTCCAGGTATTTTCATGTTGAGGAAGGGATGTCTCATCTGCAGTGTTTGGCTCACATTGTCACACATATTTAATTTGTTACATACAGGCAGTGTCATTGTGTTATTTCACTTTACCTCTGAAGTTTAGGTTATGTATCCCTCTCAGGGATATTGTCATTGTGTGGCCAGAGGATGTCACTGTTTTGTAGGTTTAAAGTAGGAACAGTATCCTGTGTTTATGTTTGGTTTATTGCCCTGTACCTTTATTGAATAGGACACATGGATTTTAAAGATAATCGTGTTGATTTAGTGTCAGCTCTTTCACATTGTTCTGATGTCTTTGTAAAATTAGGTATCAGCTCGAGTTGAAGGATGAATTTATCAAGAGAACAGAGAAACTAACTGAGAATGAGAACAGAAACAAAGGTGAGTATTTAATTCAGTGCAAGGTTACTGACCGGTTTGCTGTTGACCATGTTCTGGTTTGATTTTGTACTTTACATTCTTATTTCTCAGTGGAAACAGCTCGTATCCAAAAAGAGTCAGCTGTAATTAATGCCAAGTTAGAGGAGCACAGCAGAGCATGTTCAGAACTGAGACGGCTGCAGGTATACAACACAACCTCGGGAACTTCACCCTCTTCAATGGGCAATAGGCACAATATTTCAGTCTTACTAAATAACAAAACCTTCAGTGATTCATTTTGAAGTGATTGTTGTATAACTGTATTGTACACAGTCTAATTGATTGAGTCTCCAGGTTTATTTTGCCTTCTCTTTTCATGTCTCTTCTGTTGTCTCCCAGGTTGAGCTAGACACAACACAGCAGCAGATTTCTCTGCTGACTCAACAGAAGGAGCTTTTGAGGGAAAGACTGGAGTCGATGAGTGACTACCCCAGCTTGAAAAGAGAGAAAACAGAGCTGCAGGGCCAGCTGCGGCTGCTGAAGAAACAGCTGGAGGAGGCCCAAGAGGAGAACCGGCTTCTCCATGCAGGTGAGGATTAGCTTGGATTGGATTGGGGTTTTCTGTCTGTAATAATGTAGAAATAATTAATTGTATTGATTAAAAAAATTGTGGCTGGGGACTTAAATGCTAAAAAAAAAATCAGTCCCCAAGCATATTTGTAGTCTTTTCTCAAGACTGAGATAAATCCAGTTCCTGTGTTGCATTCACAGTGCTTGAGTGTGGGCTCATTGTGAGCTGTGGGAGATGCAGTGTACTGTGAAGCATTCATGTTAGTCTGTCCCACTGCTTCTGGCTCAGCTGAGTCTTTCTGAATGTGTCTTGCTTGCCAATGTGGGGCCTCTGTGCTGTGTTTGTAGCTCTGCAGACAACTCTCTAAAAAAGGAACCAGTGAGGCAATAGGGATGAGAAGTGGGGTGAAGGGGAGCAGAGAGCACAGTGAGCAGAGACAGAGGGCTCCCTTTACCCATGGCAGAAAACCAAAATTTTACCTCTCTCTGAGGGGTACAGTATTCTTCCTGTGTGAGGATGTAGCAGGGGAGCAGTGGGCCTCTCTCCTCATTACTAACAGCAACATGGTGCTAAGCCCCTGTGTGCTGTACTCTCATGCTGGCATGATCCATACAGCCAAAACTGTGAACTTTGCGTTTCCCTGAGATAGCTTTGCCAATGAAACACACACTGGACTGGTAAAAAGGATGCTCTTTTAAATTATATTCTGACACCAATAACCCCTCTCTCAGATTTGAGCAAGCCGTCCAAGGAGCAGCTGGGCTTGCAGATGGAGCTGCAGAGACTGCAGAGCGCTCTCAAACTGGATGAGGAAGAGTTTGACAACCAAAAACAGGTGCTGCAGGCACAGCTCCAGAGTGAGGTCAGTCACATCACAGCCTCTTACAGAGTGTGGGAAACTATGCGGTTAACTTTTTTTTCCACTGTGTTTTGTCTGACCTGAGGGATTTTCTTGTGTAATCTGTGTTTCCGGTGACCCATATGTATACTTTGCACAGACCTTACACTGTGTGCAAACAGTAACGTCTTGTGTGATGTCCTGTTTTCTGCAGGTGGAGCGGTGCGCTCAGCTCAAGGCTCAGTTGACGGAGTGTGAGGAGAGGTCACAGTGGATGACTAACCACATTGAGGACATTAAGATGCAGCTTCGCCAAACTCAACAAGGTACCCCATGACTGGGCATGCATGTCTACCACATCTTAGTCCGATAAGTCACTTTGAAGCATGTAGGTGTCTGTATGCAGTTGTGAATATTACAACAAATTACTGTGGTTCACTTTATTTCTGCTTTTCTTAAATGGACTTCCCTTCTTGGATATTCTTATAAACATTATCCATTATTTTCAATTACTGTAATAACATTTTTAGCAGAAACAAGAAAGGAAGCCATGTTACAGTAGTTACAGTAGTAGCAACCTGATCCTACAGTAGCTGTAAATGCATGTAAAGAGATATTAGTTGTAGCAACAGCTTTAATGGTGGTTGGTCTTCTGTTTAAGT